CCAGAATAGTCTGACGGTGGGCTCGGCAGTTCTAAGGCAACAAAAATCCATGGTTTAAGCACCCTAGAGAAACGTTTTTGCGAATTGGCCTGAATAGAAAAAAAACCGAGATTACTTATATATATTACTTACTTTATTCAAAAGTCAGAAGAAAAACTAAGAAAAAAGGAGTTTTTTTGTAGAGATACCAAAATAGCAAGCTTTTTACGAAGGAAGCAAATAATAGCGACTCTTGCATACATACAGCCGGCTAGCTGCGACATCGACAAAAGCGCTCTTTGAGTATCCCAAACTGGCCAAAATATTCTCAATTTAAAACCTGAACATTTTCATAAAAAATAATCACTGTTAAAACATAGTTTACATTTTGATATAAGCTAGGCATCAATTGTCTTTCAGACTGAATAGAAAAATCAGTCAAAACTTGCTAGTTAAAAATCGAAAAGCTCAAAATTTGACACAGTAAAAGAACCACTCCAGCGCATATGTTCATTTATATATAATGGGTAAAAATTTTGTTCCCTCAGCTCAATCAGTTAATAAAAAATTTGAGTGTATTTTAGTAATTCAGCTGAAACACTTGGAGTTTGAGAAGTATTGATTAGCTTTGCGTGGTCAATCAGGCGATGTACCAAAAATCAAAGGCAAAGTTGTCCAAAAAGCTACAAAACATGGGTCTGAGCGGTTTGAGCTGAGAAGTGGTTTTTCAACGCAATATGGACACCAGTATGAAAAAGTAATCATATATTTTATTCATTCAAAAGGACTGTTTTATTCAAATTAAAGTTTAAGTTATAGATTGAAAAAATACAATTGAGTGATATAAAATGTTTGTAAAAATCTGCATGACGTTCATGTAGGTGCATGAGTTTTGCATTTTTACTGTAGTTTTCAAGCTTTGACGCAAGTTCACTAATGGAAAGTTTACAAAGTCTGGTATGGTTGCTCTTTCTTTCTGAGGTAAAGCAGCACGGCCACTGGAACGGCCATGATTTCAGGTCCGAGACCCATAATGGGCACCACACTGCCCCAACACACACCGCGGTCTGCATTTTCAGGAAACTCTTCATTCTCAAAAAAGATGGTCCAACCGTCGCTGTAATAAGCCAAAATTTGAAGGAAATCAGCTACAATGAGGGTCAGAACATTTAATGTCGAAAACACGACAACCACCTTAGCGCAGGTCTCCGTTCGAAAAAGGCTGGCTATGAACCCAAGCAGCGTTAAGAGAGAAACTGCGTGTCCTAAGACGTAGAATCCCCTCGCAGCTTGAATCGTTGTTGGAGCGTCCAATTTAGTCAAAAAGCACCCATCGTCATCACAGAAGGTCCATAGGTTAGCGCGCCACTGTATCGTTTTATTGCAGTCATGAATGTCCACTTCTGCTTCCCAGTAGTATCCACAGTTTCCATTGGCTGATAGGCTCAAAAGTAGACCGGTCAAAACGAGAATGGACCCAACAGTTACCAAAGAAATTTCGTTGTGGTTCATTTTTTAAGCAAAACCCTTGGTGTTGTTTATATCAATCGTGTTGTTTAATTCTTGACGATGTTTGAGATGCGAAAAATTCAAAAAAAATCAAACGTTGGGCTCACAGCTCAAGAATGGGAATATAATAAACTCGAAATGAATGAATTGCTGTACGGCCGAACGGTAGAGCCGATTATCATAGAAAACATCTAACTCTTTGTGGTATGTTTACTTTCAAAGATAACAGGAAAGAAGGTTTGCTTAAGTTTGTTCACATTTGTTGTCTCGCCATCAAAAGGTTTCAAATTTGGGCTTTACAGGTCTTCAAAACTTGAACAAACGTTCAATCCAAAAACAATGAAAGACTGAAAAGCACTATTTTGTAGTCATTCAAATGTTTGGTGGTGTTTGATTTTGTGTATGTAGCTGTGATTGACTTAAGATAAAGAAGAGTCTGCGTAAACTTACAAAGACCCAGTTGATGCGCTTCTTTATTCTTTCTTAAGGTTTTAGAATCCAAAAGAAAGCTAGCTAGATACGAGGTCAGAAGAGGATGAGGCTTAGAAAGAGAAAGAGGTCGGTTTATTTGATTGCGCCAGGGTCAAAGGATTTAATTAGCTTAGTTAGTTTATATTCAACAAAATTAAGAGTTCTTAATCTAAAAAAGTGTACCTAATTTTTATGGACAAAGAGCTTGCCTTTCATTTTTTGTGGGATCCAAAATACGGCTCAAAGTAGCTCAAAGACTGACAGCTGAACAAAGAGCCAGAATGTCTGTATGAGATGGCAACGCATTTGAAGGGGGAAAAGTCGGAGCAATAACACCGCTGAAAATCATTTGACAACCGGAATCAGCTGCCAAGAATTGCAAATGGAAAAACTCTTTTCCTCGATCTTTTTTTCAGCATCGGCATTAAACATTATTGGTCAGAGTTTCATCTTTGTGCCTGCCGACACATTTCCGCTGACCAGTAGAAAAAAGGCAAAAATACAGCCACTTCCGAAGACGAAAAATACAAGGCGTGTTTTGTATCAAAATGTATTTTATAATGCCATTCATTTTTCATTTTGCTGTTTTGGATTATCTGATGAATTTTACTCAACCTAAGAGTCCAAGACAAGCTCAATCATCTCATTTGAAAAATTCAAATGTTTCCGTTCAGAATAACGACCAGACTGAATTGATTTAAACTGGCAAAATGCATTTGGCGCTTTATTTTTTGCTCTGTTTTGTGTTCTCTGCAGTTACTGATGCATCGACCCAACTTGATCTCTCCCTCTTTCGGGAAGAGTGTCCATGTTTGAAAGCATACGACGTGGAGCCTGTGTTTGCGTACTACGCATATGATATAGACTCATGCGTTGTGTATTGTATAGGAGTTCAAGCTTGCGAGGCTGTCAACTATTGCGTATGTATTTTCTTTCGTAAACCATTTTTGTTACGATCATTTGAAAAATGGGAGGAACTTTTTATTCGGGTGTGTGCAGGTATCACAATTAATTATCGGAATAGGTCGAGTGATATATCATATCAAAGCCCTTTCAATCGTGATTTGAACGACAATTTTCAAAAAAAATTTCACAGTGTTGAGGATAACCGGTTTGAAGTTTTTGATTTTTAGTCTGATTTCGAACCAATATGATGTGAGCGTGTATGCTTACAATAGCTTATTTAAGCTTATTTTGAGCCATGAAAACCTAGTTGTGCTCAAGCAAAAGTAGTTTTTGGAGTTTTAGCGCCATTTTGTAAACAAAAGTTTAAAGTTGTCTGCAAAAATGTCTGCAAAATATTTTGAAACATTTTTTAAAATCATTTTAACATTTTTTGTGTATAATAAATTGTTTATATTAATTTAATAATTGCAAAAAAAAGGAAAATGTTAGTGATCATTTTATCCAACCTTGCCCTTAAGAGTTACCCCACTATGCTATTTACATGTATTATTGTATAAAAACCTTTCAAGGTTCAATTGAATTTGTTATTTCATTGGCGACTTATGCTTGCTTAGAGTGGGACGAAATTGTGCAAAGGATATAGTAAATTTGGCGTGGGTTATGAGCCCGAGGCAATCAACAACCTGGACTGTGCCGGCTTCCCTTCCGTATCTTCCACTTCTTCCGAGAAGTGGTACTGGGTCAAAGAGGTCATTGACGGGGAAACCACTGACTGCCAGATAGAACACGACAGACTGGGCCAAACACGTATGCATTTCAGTACGCAGTGAAAGAGGCTCCAACGAGTCTGTTTCTTAGAGTTATAGTACACTTGGAGAGTTTGGATAAACCGTAAAATCCCCTCATAAGAGACCAACCGTATACATGTCCCCTAGCCAGCCATTAATTTTGAAAGATGATTATGTATTCATGATGCCTTTCGAACAAGTGCGCTCACAATTTTTATGTGGGATTGCATTTGAATGCTTGTTTTCTCAAGAAAAAACTGTTATTTTGCTATAAATCTAAGGTATACTCAAAATAATTTCCTAAAAAAAACGTATTTTCTCCCCCCTCCCACTGCATCAATTGAGGGAGGGGAAGGGGAGAAGATTGTACGGTTGATCCAATTAACGTTCCGGTTTCGAATAAAGTGACAAAAAAGTGACAAAAAATTCTTTTCCAGACTAAATTCGAATATTGTGCGTATAGGATGTGAAATAAAAATGAAGCTATACTGAGTATATCCGTGACCGGCCCGTTAGGAGGACATACTGTGCACTGGATAGGAGCACAGTTTGGTGTCTGTAGGTCAGTATAATCGAGAGACAGGTCTTAAAGCGCGTTCCAAAATTTAAGTGGATTCAAATTTAAAAGTTTCCATAGTATGCGCGTACAAATAATTGTAACAAAAAAATTGTCGATTCATTTGTTTTGTCGCGGATTATGCAACAATCGATTGTAGCTAGGTATTCTGGGTTCGACAACTGTGAGCGGATTTTGCATTGCAAAATGTTAGTGGTTTCCGCAATTGTAATCAGAATCAGCAAAATTTAGTAATGGAATCCGCAAATGTAAGAATATTCCGCAAATTGTTCTTTTTGTTCATTAAACTGAACGGAACCAATTTTTTCGTATGAACAATTAAAAGCTTGAGCTAAAAATTTTATCCAGCAATTGCCGAATTTGAAAGCAAACACTTAACATTTGTCAGCGGAATCCACAAACAATTTCTAAATTATTGGTTGACTAAATCAGTGGATGTGTCCTGTGCAGTTTTTGGGATAAATTTGCCAACAAGCATTTTTGGATCATAATTATGGAAGCATAATATCACACATCACCGAATTTAATCATGAATGGGGATCAGTGGGTTGGGAGTTTTGGAAACACTACACATAACTATAACTTGAGGAAATTGACTTAAATGAGTAATTGACCTAAATAAAAACGGTAATGTTTAACCGACTCAACTGCAGAGCTTTTCAATCTACTGTATTCGTCACAAGCATTTGTTATGCACAGTACTTGGATGGATCCGAACTAAGAAAAACAAGATTGCTTGTGTTAAGTTGAAGTTCTGGCCGTTTTGACTGTACTGCAATGTATTTGAAATGCGTTCTAAAAATCAGTTATAAAAAGGTGATAAAGTTTCAAAAATATAGTTGAGTTTGTTGAGAAGTTACCAGTTTTTCCATAAAGACGCGCTGTTAAAATGTGGTCTTAAATTGCCCCTCAAGTAAATTTTGAAGTCGCGCCGTCTGTTTTTCTTCCAATTTCGCCAGCAGTCTTGTCTTATATTGCACAGCTAAATCGTTACAAAAGTCACGCCACTAAAAATTTTCAAAGTGGCAATCAGTCTTTTCTCAAGTTGCGCGATCAGAATTTCTTCAAATTGTGTCACCAGTCTTGTGTTAAGTCGCACTGCTAAATTTCTTCTAATTTGCGCGTTGATATCTCTTTTAATAGTCGCGCTGTCATTCTTTCTTTTTTTCGACCCTCATTTTTTCTTTAATCGCGCCGCTAAGATCTCTACTTTTTAAGTTTTGCCATTTAATTGTTTTCTTTATTTTTGTCGGTATTTTTGTTTATAACTCGAGCCAATAGATTTTACCCTGAGTCACTCTGCACTTTTTTCAAATTGCGCTTTTAGTCTTTTCTTGAGCTGCATCGTCATTTTTTTCATAGGTCGCGCTGCCCAAGTCTTTTAAAGGTGCAACATAAAAACTGTTTGAGTCGCTTTGCTACAATCTTAACAGAGTTAGACTTTGTCGCCTGTCTTGTCTTAAGTCGCGTTGCTTACTTTTTTAAAAGTTGGGCGCTGATATTTTTTTTTATAGACGCGCCGTCATTCTTTTTTTTTCAGACCCTCAGTTTTTCTTCAGTCGCGCAGCTAAAGTTTTCACTTTTCAAATCTTGCCATTTAATTTTTTTTTAATTTTGCGTCCTATTTTTTGTATATAACTCTAGCCAATAGGTTTTTTCCTGAAAGAACCTGCAATTTTTTTTCGAATTGCGCCGTCAAAAGTTTCATAAACTTCACCGTTAGTTCTTCCTTAGGCCGAGCAGCCTTAGTTTTTTCTTAACTCGGGCTGTCATTATCTTATTAATTCGCACCATCAGCATTTTCTTCAGGCGCCTAAGCAAAATCTTTTCTTTGGTCGCGCAATCAGTCTACTTTCGGGTTTTTCCGTCTGCATTTTGGCCTAATTTGTGCCGCCAGTCTTGTCTTAAATCGCGCTGCTTAGTCATTTCTTAAGTTGCGCTGCTAGCAATAATTGAAGACGCGCTGTTTTTTTTTAAATTCATGTCATCAATTTTTCTTTAGTCGTGTTGCTATTGTTTCTTAAATCGTGCCGCTGACGAGTACATGAAATGCGTTGTTGATTCTTCCCCCAAAAGCCGCGCCGCTAAAATTTTTATTCAATTGTTGGTGTCAATCTTTGTTTCAAGCTTTACCCTCAGTCTTTTTTTCAGCCGCCTCGCCCCGATCATTTCTGAACTCAGGCCGTCACTCTTTTTCTGAGTCGCGCCAAGAAATTTTCCGTAAATCGGGCTTGAAACTTTTCTTAAGTTAAGCCATCAAACTTTCTTTAAGTCCGACCTTCAATTTTTTCTTATGTTGCAGCATGAGCTTTTTCATTAGTCACGCTTTCAAAATTTTTCTTAAATCGCACTGTCAGTTTACTTCTAAGCCGCACCAACAGTGTGTTTGAAGTTGCGCCGTCAGTCACGTCGTAAGTCGCTCTGCTGTTTCAAATTTTTTAAGGCGCGTTCTTAAAGTGTTTGCTTTAGATGCGCCATCAGTCTGATCTTAAGTCGTTACGTCGGTTTTTTTTCTCGAACCGCGCCGCCAATCTTGTCATAAGTCGCGCTGCTAAGCCATTTCATAAGTCGCACCATCAAAATCCTTTCACTGCATTTTTTTTCATATTTTGCGTCGCTACTTTCCTATTCTTTGATAAGTGGCGGAGCTAGATTTTTTCATTAGACACACTGCAAAATTTTTTTAAATTTGCGCCATCAGTTCTTTACTAAGCTGCACCGTCAGTCTTTTTTAAGTCACTTCATCAGTCTTTTCTTAAGTTACTTTCCAACTCACTTCCCCGGCTGAAATGGACTTCTAAGGCTCCGCCTATTTCAAATGGACGATTTCGTCAGTCTTTTCTTAAGTTACTTTCCAACTCACTTCCCCGGCTGAAATGGACTTCTAAGGCTCCGCCTATTTCAAATGGACGATTTCGTCAGTCTTTTCTTAAGTTACTTTCCAACTCACTTCCCCGGCTGAAATGGACTTCTAAGACTCCGCCTATTTCAAATGGACGATTTCGTCAGTCTTTTCTTAAGTTACTTTTCAACTCACTTTCCCGGCTGAAATGGACTTCTAAGGCTCCGCCTATTTCAAATGGACGATTTCGTCAGTCTTTTCTTAAGTTACTTTCCAACTCACTTCCCCGGCTGAAATGGACTTCTAAGGCTCCGCCTATTTCAAGTCAGTCTTTTCTTAAGTTACTTTCCAACTCACTTCCCCGGCTGAAATGGACTTCTAAGGCTCCGCCTATTTCAAATGGACGATTCCGTCAGTCTTTTCTTAAGTTACTTTCCAACTCACTTCCCCGGCTGAAATGGACTTCTAAGGCTCCGCCTATTTCAAATGGACGATTTCGTCAGTCTGTTCTTAAGTTACTTTCCAACTCACTTCCCCGGCTGAAATGGACTTCTAAGGCTCCGCCTATTTCAAATGGACGATTTCGTCAGTCTTTTCTTAAGTTACTTTCCAACTCACTTCCCCGGCTGAAATGGACTTCTAAGGCTCCGCCTATTTCAAATGGACGATTTCGTCAGTCTTTTCTTAAGTTACTTTCCAACTCACTTCCCCGGCTGAAATGGACTTCTAAGGCTCCGCCTATTTCAAATGGACGATTTCGTCAGTCTTTTCTTAAGTTACTTTCCAACTCACTTCCCCGGCTGAAATGGACTTCTAAGGCTCCGCCTATTTCAAATGGACGATTTCGTCAGTCTTTTCTTAAGTTACTTTCCAACTCACTTCCCCGGCTGAAATGGACTTCTAAGGCTCCGCCTATTTCAAATGGACGATTTCGTCAGTCTTTTCTTAAGTTACTTTCCAACTCACTTCCCCGGCTGAAATGGACTTCTAAGGCTCCGCCTATTTCAAATGGACGATTTCGTCAGTCTTTTCTTAAGTTACTTTCCAACTCACTTCCCCGGCTGAAATGGACTTCTAAGGCTCCGCCTATTTCAAATGGACGATTTCGTCAGTCTTTTCTTAAGTTACTTTCCAACTCACTTCCCCGGCTGAAATGGACTTCTAAGGCTCCGCCTATTTCAAATGGACGATTTCGTCAGTCTTTTCTTAAGTTACTTTCCAACTCACTTCCCCGGCTGAAATGGACTTCTAAGGCTCCGCCTATTTCAAATGGACGATTTCGTCAGTCTTTTCTTAAGTTACTTTCCAACTCACTTCCCCGGCTGAAATGGACTTCTAAGGCTCCGCCTATTTCAAATGGACGATTTCGTCAGTCTTTTCTTAAGTTACTTTCCAACTCACTTCCCCGGCTGAAATGGACTTCTAAGGCTCCGCCTATTTCAAATGGACGACATGTCTGGAGTTTAGAAAATCCAAGTTTATGTGGATTATACCTCTAAGTCGCATGATAGCAGCCATCTAATTTGAGCAATGTTCAACTGCAACAACCGACCATCTCTTTCAATCAGCAGACATCAACTTGCAATTACAAGCCAAAACTTTGAATGATGACCTCAGGACAGCAATAAGCCTCATCTTGACAGCCGACAACATTATGTAGACAATTGACGCCAAGCAACTCGATAATCTAACCCAATCACATTTAAGACAAAATTTTGGATAATTCTAATAGACATCCCACCCCAGACCCTCCCGTTTTTTGCGATTGCAAAATAGAATCGGCTGCACAGTGCACTCATTGTTGCATACTCTATTACAACGAAGCAGTGTTGCTCGCAAATATACGTGCAATGACCAAAATCAGCTCAAAAAGGGCAAAATTTTCAGAAATTATGCAAAAATTTCAGAAATTACCTGAAAATTTGCGAAAACTTGAATGCGAAAACTTAAAACATTTTTGGAACGAAACAAGGAAATTAAAATAATAAAAAAGCTTGAAATATAACAGTCTTCCTCCATTTTTGAGTTTATAGCGCATACGTCTACCCTGCTTGACCTGTTCGAGTAAAGCCTTCGAACCTATGTTCGACTTTGTTCGATTATAACCTTCGTTCGACCGTCTTAGTTTCCGACGAATATCGGCCGAATCATGAGTACAACACCCCAGCGCGATACAGGCACTTATCTCGTTCACCCGCTCGCCATTTCCCGAGTCGAGAATTTTCACCTAATTTGTCCAACCAATAAATTATTCCAATATTTTGATGCTTAGCTTCATCGAATGACTACACAATTCAAGTACGAGGGTACCCGCTGCAAGTATTTTGCGAATGGGGCCAAAATGGAGAACCCACCAAAACTTATATGAATTTCGCATCTGCATATACCACAATTTCTCACTGGGGTGGCAGCAGCTACGGAAATTTTGGCCCGACCGGGTATTCAAGAAGGACTTTTCAAAAAGCGAAGCTGTTAGTGGACAAATGTTTCCTGGCAGTGGACGTGGCTGATGTCTCATATTCGACTTCGACCATAACAGGTTCATCTGTGCAAGATAACTACGATGCACTCTGTAAGTTACTGATTTATTTTTTGCTATAATCTATAACTGTGAAATTTTCAAAAAAAAAAAACTGACCTAATAAAAGGTCAAAAATGTTGTCGACTTTTTTCAGGTCGACCACATTGATATTCTGAGCTCTCCCCAAGCCCTTAAAAGACCCTATTTTGTCCAAAGTTGCTGCGCCGCAGGCAAAATTTCAAAAAAAAAGGCCAAAAAGGCATTTTTAGGCATTTTTTTGGAAAATTGTGACCAAAAAATTGCGTTTTTCGGCGCACGCTTCCCCTCACAATTAGTATATCCTTGGGTCGCAGGAGGTCAAATCACTGAGCAGAGGGCGTCTGCCTCCCTCCCCCCAAATATCCACAATCAAAGCAATCCAAATTGGCTTCTAAACCATATTAGCTTGAAATATAACGTAAACGTTGAAGTTATATGATACTTATAAGATTTCAAACCCCCTCAAGATTTGCTGTTACTTAAGCTTAAAAAGGTTTTAATCTTCGACTTTTATAAGATCCTCGAATTTTGAAGTAATTCAACACAGTTCTTATTACTTTTTCTAGAAATCAAAATTTTATTTATAGAACACCATTTTTTGTCCAAGAATAAGATTTCGAGCTACATTTTTGATCTTAATTTCTTCAATTTTGAAAAAAGTCTGGTCATCGTTTGTTTAATTTAACGGCCTATCTTTTGTTCGCTTTGATCATGAATTCCATTCTTAGATAATTATAACGATGTGACTTTCAAAGTTTTGGGTATTTTTAGTTTTCAGAACAGGCAAGTAAATAAAAAATGAGCAATTTATCCCAACAAACTGAAGACTCATCCGCAATTTAACGGTTTGAAAAATGTTTTCTCATATTCTCTCGAAATTTTTCTCATTCATTATTTAAAAAATAATCGAACCGGGACTGTTATATGTGATACAACATAATTTTTGCAAAAGTTTGTACGCAGCATTTTCGGTACGTCAAAAAGCGGCAGGTTATTCACGACCTTTGGTTAAACTTCTGTACTATTCTTTTGCTTTCAAAAATCTCTGTAGAGTTGACTATCATTTTAAGATCAGAAAACCTTTACCCAAGCTGAAAAAGTTCAAACAAACTTTTTGAAACCACTGTAAGTCCGAAAAAATTTCTTCAAGTATTTACAGATAATCTACTCTTTTATTGAAATGATATGAAAATAATTGCTCACAATTTTTTGTCCTATATCGTTGCCTTACGACATTGATGTTTAAGCTCAGAATACACTATGATTAGCTTTAACCAATTAAAGTAAATTTGAGCATGTGTTTTTTTTACTAAATAATGTAAATACCCAGGTTGACTGAACTCCAAAGATTAAAAATGCTAGCCATACAATTCAATAGTTTTGTATGGTGTCTCGGATCCTAAGGGTGGTACTTCCAAAGGGGAGTCCTCACGTAAAGCAAAATCCTAGGAAAGTGGTCCTTAATTTTTGTGGGACCCTTATCAAAGATTTTGTAAATGAACGTAAGTTCTCACCCCTAAGGTAAGAGATCCCCCTCCATAGGATCTTGTTAAGCTTAACAACCGGAACGATACAATAATTCCTTTTAAAGCGGTCCCTTTTCCCGCGATAATTAAAATTAATCGTCCTAATTTCTGATTTTTTTTGTCGTAAATTTATGTGGATATCATTTCTTGGCTTTTTTCTTTTCGTCGAAGGTTTGTCATGCTAATAAAAATTTTTGAGACTGAACCAAAGGATTTCACACATTTGTTTGAACTAACAGTTGGTTTGCGTCAACGAGTTTACTTGCCTGAAATTATTTATATTAAAACAGTGATTGAACACAATACGAATATTTTTTTAGCGGTAAATTGGTAAAAAACAAAACAAGTTTGAGCCGAAGTATAAAAAGTAAGAGCAGTAAAAATCATCTCAAAATATATGTTTCAGGATTTAACGTTTTCTGTTTTGGTTTTCTTTGCACTTTTTAGACAGTTTTTCTTCTGAAACTTCTGATAAACTGAATGAGTCATTTACAGGGGGACATTGACGGAGTCGGCTACTAGAAGCTTCTTCTTCTCGCAGCTCTGATTCTGAGTAGGGCCGCCCAATTCGAAAGTTGAAATTAGGGCGAACTGTTATCAGTTTCATTGTATGAGTTGGCTCACCCGATTTTCATGTAAATCTCTTCTAGAATTGCAATTTTTTTGGCTGCTTTTTGGCCAAAGGGAACTACCGAAATCCCGTCGAAAAGGAGAAAACATTTTGAATCGAATGGTGATAATACAAATTTGTTTTGTTCCACTGTCATATTAGTGTGACATTTCGAAACTATATTACAATTGTACAATCTCATTGTTTTCCAAGCGAATAAAGTGTTACATGAAGGTTATGTGGACCAGTTTTTGCTGTGCATACCGTTTTATTCCTTTGGCACTGAATTTTTGTGAGCCTTCTAATTGGAACAAAAATTATTTTTTTTTCTACCAGGCAGGGGATAGTTTCCTTTCATTTTAACAACTCAATTTACACCAAACAAAGTTACATTCTTTTTACCAAAGAGCAGAAGACTCTAATTTCTGATTAAAAAAGCAGAAAAGGGAGGAAATATGTTTTCAGTTAAGTCAGAGTTTAGGCAGCATTGTATAATATTGCCTAAATCAGCTAAATGACCATAATTTATTGCAACAAATTAAAGGGGCTGGGAGGGAAGTTGGTCGTGATGGTGGTGGTAATTTTGTTGTAAAAGTTGGAAATGCGAGTGGGATGCTGGATTAAGTTGGAGTTTTTTTACTTACTATTAAGGACGACCGAATTTAGTTTCAGTTTTAGGGCAATGAGTTCTCTGATCGGCTTCCCACCCGTCTCGTCTTTGAACTTCTCAAATGATCCTCATTGTAATTTGAAAAATCGAAATCAGCTTTTATTTTCTCTAGGTCTCAGTAAATGTCAGTTTTTTTGGCATAAATTAAACTATCCGTGTCTGAGTATAGTAGTAACAAGTTTAGATTCGGTTTCTTTTTTTTTGATAATGAAATTGAAACAAGAAACGCTTGGCCAGCTCCAGGATGGTCGCACCAACTATTATAGATTTTTCCCAAGATTTTTTTGTAACTGAAAAGTCGATTATGGCTTATTGGTCGTCAATTATTTGGAAGCTCTTTATTATGCTCAGATATGTTTTTTTTTGCTACTAAAGAACTTTTCGGAGGTGAGTGTTTTTTATTCCCAGCTCGTGGTACAACTTTAGAGTAGAGGAGTGCAAAAAAAACAACCTTCTTTAGGATGCAAGGTCTTTAGAAGCTTTGGCGCTTTTGGTCAGTCTTTTCTTAAGTTACTTTTCAACTCACTTCCCCGACTGAAATGGACTTCTAAGGCTCCGCCTATTTCAAATGGACGATTTCGTCAGTCTTTTCTTAAGTTACTTTCCAACTCACTTCCCCGGCTGAAATGGACTTCTAAGGCTCCGCCTATTTCAAATGGACGATTTCGTCAGTCTTTTCTTAAGTTACTTTCCAACTCACTTCCCCGGCTGAAATGGACTTCTAAGGCTCCGCCTATTTCAAATGGACGATTTCGTCAGTCTTTTCTTAAGTTACTTTCCAACTCACTTCCCCGGCTGAAATGGACTTCTAAGGCTCCGCCTATTTCAAATGGACGATTTCGTCAGTCTTTTCTTAAGTTACTTTCCAACTCACTTCCCCGGCTGAAATGGACTTCTAAGGCTCCGCCTATTTCAAATGGACGATTTCGTCAGTCTTTTCTTAAGTTACTTTCCAACTCACTTCCCCGGCTGAAATGGACTTCTAAGGCTCCGCCTATTTCAAATGGACGATTTAGTCAGTCTTTTCTTAAGTTACTTTCCAACTCACTTCCCCGGCTGAAATGGACTTCTAAGGCTCCGCCTATTTCAAATGGACGATTTCGTCAGTCTTTTCTTAAGTTACTTTCCAACTCACTTCCCCGGCTGAAATGGACTTCTAAGGCTCCGCCTATTTCAAATGGACGATTTCGTCAGTCTTTTCTTAAGTTACTTTCCAACTCACTTCCCCGGCTGAAATGGACTTCTAAGGCTCCGCCTATTTCAAATGGACGATTTCGTCAGTCTTTTCTTAAGTTACTTTCCAACTCACTTCCCCGGCTGAAATGGACTTCTAAGGCTCCGCCTATTTCAAATGGACGATTTCGTCAGTCTTTTCTTAAGTTACTTTCCAACTCACTTCCCCGGCTGAAAAGGACTTCTAAGGCTCCGCCTATTTCAAATGGACGATTTCGTCAGTCTTTTCTTAAGTTACTTTCCAACTCACTTCCCCGGCTGAAATGGACTTCTAAGGCTCTGCCTATTTCAAATGGACGATTTCGTCAGTCTTTTCTTAAGTTACTTTCCAACTCACTTCCCCGGCTGAAATGGACTTCTAAGGCTCCGCCTATTTCAAATGGACGATTTCGTCAGTCTTTTCTTAAGTTACTTTCCAACTCACTTCCCCGGCTGAAATGGACTTCTAAGGCTCCGCCTATTTCAAATGGACGATTTCGTCAGTCTTTTCTTAAGTTACTTTCCAACTCACTTCCCCGGCTGAAATGGACTTCTAAGGCTCCGCCTATTTCAAATGGACGATTTCGTCAGTCTTTTCTTAAGTTACTTTCCAACTCACTTCCCCGGCTGAAATGGACTTCTAAGGCTCCGCCTATTTCAAATGGACGATTCCGTCAGTCTTTTCTTAAGTTACTTTCCAACTCACTTCCCCGGCTGAAATGGACTTCTAAGGCTCCGCCTATTTCAAATGGACGATTCCGTCAGTCTTTTCTTAAGTTACTTTCCAACTCACTTCCCCGGCTGAAATGGACTTCTAAGGCTCCGCCTATTTCAAATGGACGATTTCGTCAGTCTTTTCTTAAGTTACTTTCCAACTCACTTCCCCGGCTGAAATGG